CTATGACATTGAGTATGATAAAATGAATGAATAATAGAAGGAAAAAAAGAGAAAACGACTTTATTTCAGATAAACAAGAAACATTGATATGCACGCACAAAGGAAAGAGAGATTTTCAAAAGAACAAAAAAAGACATAGTGGTGTTGAGAAAAAAAAATTGGTGGTGTTTGAGTATTATGGTCAGTCGTCGTCGTCATCATATAGTGCAAAAAAAAAATGTTTTCATTTTTCTGAAAAGGTACATTATATATTTGTTATAGACCAAGAAAAAGAGTTTTGCTGCTGATGTTGTTCAATAATAAACATATAAAGAAATAGAATTTTTTGTTTTTTTTTATGAAATAATATATATTGTCAGTTTAGCAGCGTTGCATGCGGCAGACAATGGTATAAAACAATGAAGCAAAAAGGAGAACAAGTCCAACTTGTGCTTGTCCATATGCACCACTAATACCTTCCACTCTTTTGTATGCATCCAAAAATTGCTCTAAAGATATTAAATTAATATAAACAAAAACAAAAATTGTAATACGAACTAGCATAGGCTGTGATGGCGATTAAACATGCAAATAAACCCAATGCACCAATAGCTGCTAAACATAATAGACACCCGAGAGTGCCACCAATTGCTCCAAGAGCGCCACCAAGACCTGCACCACTAGCAGCTGGTCTTATCGCGGGTCTAGCTCCATAGACTGGACGTGCTACAGCAGATCTGAAATTTTTCAAAAACAGAAAGTTACTATGAATATATATTCAACTAAGTTAAATCACTTACCGAACTCCATATGGTCGAGGAGCTGGAAGAGGTCGTCGAGCAGAGTCCGCCATCTCAGTTTAAAAATAATCTAAAAGACAAATAAAATATACTTACAAGGACATAAAAAATCTTTTATGTCTTCATATCGTATGGCTAAAGACTGTCCACACGTGTTCATTCATAACTTTTCTTCGTTTTAGCAAGACCCTTCCTCTCTTTTTCTTCTTCTCTTTTCTCTCTCTCTCCCTCTTTCTCTTTAACTACCTGTACAGCGATCTTCTCTTAGCAGAAACGATGACGGCTTGTTTGTCAGTACGTCGAAAAAAAAAAGATACTATAATACAACGTATTACTTGTTTTTCTCTACTCTTTTTCTTTCCCTCTCATCACCATTATCATCATCGTCATCGTCGTCACTTTTCCTGATCAATCGCCTCTTCATATAACTTAATAATTCGTATATCATCATCATATTGTCTTATTATGAATCCTAGTTTTTGTTTTTCTCCTTCCCTTTTTCTCTCTCTCCCTCTCTCCCTCTCTCTCTCTCCCTCTCTCCCTCTCTCCCTCTCTCTCTCTATCTCTCTGTTACCTTTCTAAAAGTAGAGAAAAAAATACTGTATACAAATGCTCTAACGATGCATACAACTTTAGTTGACGGCATGATCAAGCTACCCACAATTTTTTTTGTCGATAAACGTATATTTCATTTCATTGCCTCACCACCACCTCTCTCTCTCTCTCTTCCTGGCTGGCTGTACTACGCATGACTTCACAGTCGTCATCATCGATTTGCACCTGAATCATATACATAGTTTGTCATGGTGTAAATGTTAGTACTAAAAGAGAGAAAATGCATGTTTGTCTTTTATATTTTTACGAGTTTCAATAACTATTTTAGCTAAGAAGAGATTCAGTTTATGCGAATGTTCATCACTTGACAGTCACTAGAATATAATCGTTAGTAATAAGATTTGAACATACTGTACGGTAATAATAAGATTTTTTCAGATAATATAATATAGTTGATAAAAATAATAAAATCTCTTCCTAGGTAGAGGGTTATCAAGAAAAAGGATAGGAAAAAAGTATATGAATGGATTGGTCGATCGACAACATATTTTCGTCTCATCGTGCGTAGGCATCGATGCACGATCGCGAAAAAAAAATCATAACCATAAGCATGTGCAGTCAGTCAGGAATGTTTCGCTTGATCGATCACCTGCCGTACTTTTTTTATTTCATTACGCATCTTCCTTTTCTTTTTTTTTTCTTTTTGTATAATATCCATATACGAACAGGTATGACAAACATTGGCGGCCTCCTTTTTTTTTCTCACAAAGTGTACAAAAAAAAAGCAATGCTTCGCCTACCCTCTCTATCACTCTCTCTCTCGTCTCTATGTACAACCTTGAGGTGCAAACCTCATCCTTTTTTTTCTGAATGCATTGAGAATGTTGTAATTTTCTTTTTGTATTGGTTGACGAAGTAATTTTCTTTATTGGACTGAAACCTTTCTTTTTCTTCCTCTCTCGCCCTTCTGTTGTTGCGATCATCATCATCATCATCATCATCATAAATGTATGAATGTTTGAATTGTCCAGAAAAGTCCCTACTAAGTGATCTATCTTGTCCATTTTTTTTATCTATCTATTCTATGAGTATGTAAAAGAGTTCTTGAATATTTAGACAATGACTAATATTAGTACCTTATCTAATTTAAATGACCATGGAGTCTGATGAAATTTGTCCTTGGAAACACTTTTTTTTTCTATTAATTATTGACCAAGATTGTTATTATATCGTTATTTTTCTTTTCGTTTTTTCTTTTAGTAAACTCTTAACATGCCCCGAGTTCGAGTGCCCGTCCGACGTTCGGGATATCGTTATACAGCACGGCCCGGTAGACGATATCCAGTTGCGTAAGTATCTTTTTTATATGATATAAATTACAAGTTAATACAATCTTTTATCTATTTACAGACCCGTAGCACCAGCACGTGGAGGCAAAGGTTTATTAGGAGGTTTAGCCGGTCTACTCTTGTGTTTACTGTGCTTAGCAACACTCGGTCTACTTGGTCTTTTCGCAGCATTTATTGCAGTGACAGCTTATCTAGGTAAGATTTTCGTATTTGTATATATTAGAATATGATTTTTAATAATTTCATTTGTTTAATTTTTTTTAGGAGATGTTTATCGTGCATTGAAGAGTGCCGGTGGTGCTGCACCCGGCCTTTACGTAAATATGGCCGTCTTATTCGCTGCCTTATTCTTTGCCGTTTATCATAAATTGCAACGATCATTATAAACAATATTCTTCTCTTATTTTTAATGTTTTATTTTGAGTCGTCGATTTATCGTCGCTGTTATTATTTTTAATTAATCGAACTCTACGGGCTTTCTTTTTTTTGCGTAATTTTTTCTTCTTTAAAACACCAAGATTTTCTCTTTTTCTATTTCAATTCTTCTTTTTTCCTAATTATTTATCACACACGCACACACATCTATTTTTTATTTAATGATCAAAACTTTTTCAACCAAGTGCCGATTTAAATGAAAATGAATATATTTGCAACAATATGAAATAATTATTCCATCAAGCCATCATCATCATCAACAACAACAATAACAACATCAAATCATCTTATTTTTTTACAACAATGATATCACTTTTAATTCGCTTAATATAAACAACAATTAAAATGGCCAACGGGGTTTTTTTTTCGTGTAGCGCGAATGTGTTTTTTTCTTCTTCTTTATATCGAGCACATCATTTCCTTTTTTTTTCTTTGTGTGTGAGAAATAAAATACAATGGGTGGCTATTTAAATCTCTAGTTTTTTAATTGAACGAAAATGAAATAGAAAACTTTGATGTTAAATAAAGCTAGAGCAATTTTGATTTGTTCGAATATATAATAAATCAATTTAATGTATACTATAGTTTATCATTATTCTATCAAATAGATGTACTTGAAAATTAAATAATGATGGTCAAAGATATATGTATATATATAAATTTCGCTTTTTCAGGAATTTTGATGATTTTTATGAATAAATGATTTCATAGTATTTTTTCTATGCAACTCTCTATGGATATAAAAAAATGTATATAGTATTTTAGTTTTTCTTGTCATTGAAAAAAACTTGGCAATTTTGTGAAAAACAAAGTTTATTCATCCATATCATTCGGTTGGTCTCGAATAAGCTTCAGTAATACAATTTATTTTAATAACAAACACTAGCTTTAAAATTCTTTCTGGAAGGATAATTATTTTATTTTCTAAGAAATCCAATAGGAACACCATTACTTAAAATAAATTGTTTAGTTTATATTATTGATGTTTTATTAGAGATTAGCTTTCAAATCAGATCATCATTTAATGAAAAATATTGTCTCTTTTTGTAAAATCTAAATGAGAAAAATGAAGATTAACAATCATCTAGCTGTTTCTACTTGTTAAAGAAGTATCATACATTCATCAATAAAATAAGATCGTATTTAAAAATGTTTATAACATGATATTTTCATTCAGAGATAGTGGCGGATTTAGGGGTGGGCGATCGCCCCCTCCTTCAGAAATTTTTTTCGATTTTTCACAGCAAAAATGAACGAAAAAATAGGTTCACTCTACTTCGACTGGACTCAAAAAATAGTTTGTAGCCGAAATCGCCCCCTCCCCTACTCAAGTATTGCTCCTTCATACTAAGATATCGCCCCTTCCTTTCAAAATCCTAGATCTGCCACTGTTCAGAGATCATATATAAATGATCTGAAGACAAAATATAACAAAAAAAACCTTATTTATTATTATTACACACGATCATTTGCAACTCTGAGCTGTACCATTATTTTTAAGATATAAAATTATTTAAATCCACCTGTTACCAGCAAGTGTGTATATTCTCTTTGAATATAATTTAACAACTTGTGTCATCTATTGACATCTTATACTATTCGAAAGCGATTTTAATCCAGTAGTTGTTTTTTTAAAAATAATTCACTCTCTGATGATTCATAATTACATATAGGTTAAGTGAACAATAGAGGAGGAACGAATTGTCAGGTTTTATTTACTCAGTTGACGCGACTGTGATAAATGAATAATTATCATTTGTAATCTTTACCTACTATGATTCATTTTTGTTTTGTTTATAGACACTTTCTTTCTTTTTTTTCCAAATCGACTTCATGTCTCATTTCTTTTCTATTCAACATTGAAGACAATTAAATATCAATTATGTTAGGAGCGAAATATGATTTCAGCCGAGATCGTGAACGACGTGCTGGTATTGATGATATGGTAAATAAATATAAAACAGAACCTGAAGAATAATTTTTGTATTATTTTATTTTAAATCCAGGTTTTTATGTCAAAAAATACTGATTCAGACATAAGTCACAATCTCAAGATTCGTTTTGATGTCAATTATATATATGTATTGAAATACTTCTTTTTTTTGCTTTAAATAAACACTTCTATTTGCCTTTTCAAATAGACATATATTGGTCCTGTTTTAATTGCTGTAAATCCATATAAAAATGTTGATTATTGTCGTGAAAATCATATGGAAAAATACCGAGGAGCAGTAAGTTTTATATTTTCATAAAAACATACGAATATTTAATATATTCTTAAAATTAGACCCAAATGGATAATGCTCCTCATATATTTGCTATCGCTGAAGATATGTTTAGTAATATGTTAATTGATTCAGAAAAACAATGTGTTATTATAAGTGGCGAGTCAGGTGCTGGAAAAACTGTTAGTGCAAAATTTATTATGTCATATATCGCTGAAGTAAGATAACAAAGAAAGAAATATCTAAATTTTCTATTTTTGAAAGGTTTCGGGTGGTGGTCCGAATGTTCAACGAATAAAAGATGTTATTTTACAATCAAATCCATTATTAGAAGTAAGAAAATAAGCTATGTTTAGAAATAGTTTGTTTTATTATTTTTCTTAAAGGCTTTTGGTAATGCAAAAACAATTCGAAATGATAATTCCAGTCGATTTGTATGTGGAAAATAGTCAATAAATAAATAGTTATCGATTTTATTTCTATAGGGTAAATACGTTGAAATAAATTTTTCACGTGGTGGAGAACCAGACGGTGGTCTTATTTCAAATTTTCTATTGGAGAAGGTAAGTAAAATGAAAACAATTTTTCCACAAAAACTCAATTAAATATGAATGCACTAATTTGCTTGTAGTAAAAAAAGAAAGAAACTATAAGGTTTGCATTGTTGCACGAATGTTGTCTCGCGAATTCCATTTGAAATAATTCCGTGTGAATATTTTTTGGTTATCTTCTATTTATTTGTTATAGTCACGCGTTGTTAGTCAAGCTGAGAATGAAAGAAACTTCCATATATTTTATCAACTATTATCAAACGCAGAATTCTGTCGTATGTATTTTTGTTTTAATATTAAATTATTGTTTATATATATATTTATATACATATTAGAGCAATATTCATTATCACTTAAGCTACGTTTTCAATATATTAATCATGTGGGAGCTATTAAAGTACCGAAAATTGATGATGCAAAAGAAATGCATGATACACAAGTAGATTTAATATATGATAAATTGGTTCTATTGATGATATATTCTTTTTTATAGCATGCAATGGATATAATTGGCCTACCGAAAGAAGTACAACATAATATATTTAGTTTACTAGCTGGTATACTGCATTTAGGCAACGTAAATTTTGGAGATAAAAATAATTATGCTACTGTTCTATCAGAACAAGGTAATATTTCTTTTTTTCTTGTCATTGTATGTAAGATATATTTCTGTTACAATTTTAGATTTACGAGCTCCTTGTGCATATTTTGGCATTGAAGTTGATTATTTAAAAACGAAATTAATTTCAAAACGTCTGGAATTTAAAGAACATCAAGAAAATAAACAGGTTGAACAAACATTTACTGTTCATAAGGCAATATTTACACGTGATGCATTAGCTAAATCAATTTATTCACGCATTTTTGATCATTTAATTCAAGTAAATCAAATCTTTATCATATCTATTCGATTTTTTATTGATTATTTTCGTATTAAATTAGGCAATAAATTCTGCATTTCAAACAACAAAAAAAAAGTGATTTATCAGTTGGTATTCTTGATATATACGGTTTTGAAATTTTCGAACGAAATAGTTTTGAACAATTTTGTATTAATTATGTTAATGAAAAACTTCAACAAATCTTTATTGAATTAACATTAAAAAAAGAACAAGTTTGTATTTAATTGATTTTTCAACCATTATAATTTATTTGTTTTTGCATTTTCTTTAGGAAGAATATAAACGTGAAAATATTCAATGGACACCGATATCATTTTTTAATAATATTGTTGTTTGCGATCTATTTGAAGCTAAACAACCACCTGGAATGTTTCTATTACTTGATGATATATGTGCTAGTTCACATGCAACAACAGAAAAAGTCGATCAAAGTTATTTACATGTAAATATCTAAATAGATTTTTATTATTTGGAATAAAATTTCTTTCTTTTTAGAAATTAAGTAGTTTATCAAATCAACATCTAATTGTTTCACCACCAACATTTACTGTAAAACATTATGCTGGTGCTGTTACTTATCATTCCGATCAATTTTGTGAGAAGAATCGTGATATTTTAAATATTGATTTAATTGAAATGATGCAATCGAGTACTATGTAAAATGAAAAAAAACAAATTTTCTATAATGAAAAAAGACTTTTGTTTTTATGAAATTTTATAGACCATTTGTTAAACGACTTTTTCCTGAACAAACATCAACAATAAAAGCTCGACCGACAACAGTTGGCAAAAAAATTAGTTCACAAGCCAATGAACTTGTAACAAAATTAATGAGTTGTCAACCACATTGTACGTACAGTTCTGATATTATTCGAGATCGATCATTAAATATTAATTAGGATCTATATGGATAGAATATGAATGTTTTTTTCGTATAATTAAGAATCGATTAGCTTAGATGTATGAGTATAGATCAATAAACTTCAGAATTATTGATATTCCAATAGAAATCATATTATAGATTTTGACTTTTACTATATATTACAACAAGCATTGCTAACGAAGTTTGTTATTTATTTACCTTTAGATGTTCGTTGCATTAAACCGAATGAAAATCAAGCACCTGGTGAATGGAATTCATCAAAGTAGATTTTTTATTGTGTAACTAAAATGATTATATAGTCGAAAATTTTTAGTGCTATTGAACAAGTTAAATATCTGGGTCTTGTAGCTAATATTGAAGTTCGAAAAGCTGGTTTTGTTTATCGTCGTGAATTTGCAAAATTTCTCAGCAGGTAATAGAATTAATATAATTCAATTGAAATTTTTGTTTTGTGATTTAGGTACGCTATATTAACAAAACAAACATGGCCGAAATGGGATGGAAAAGTAACAGATGGTGTTATGCATATTGTTGATAGTATGCATCTTGATAGACGTGAAGTACAATTAGGAAACACAAAAGTATTTATTAAATCACCAGAAAGTGTAAGTATTTATTCTAATAAATAAAAAAAAATCGATTTTATTGATACTTTTTCTAGTTGCATGTACTCGAAGATATGCGTTTACGAAAATTTGATAATTATGCACGAATTATTCAAAAAGCAATGAAACGTTTTTGTGCAGTTCGTGTTTATCAAAAACAACGTGAACAAGGTAATACTTAATTTATCATAATTTTAATTTTTTTTTGCATTTATATCTTTATTAGCTACTGATATTTTGCATGGACGAAAAGAACGTAATGAACGATCACTTGATCGTGATTATGTTGGAGATTATTGTAATCTTCATCAACGACCTGATTTACAAAGATTAATTCCACGTAATGAAAAAACTGATTTTAGTTCATATTTACACAAATATGATCGACGTTTTCGTCGTCAAGGAAGATATTTTATAAGTACGAATCAAGCTTTGTATATTATTGATGAAGAATGTGTATGTTAATGAATTATTATATTTATTCGTAAAATAAATTATTTATATTTGAAATAGATCAAAGTTGGTGCTGGTGGAAAAACAAATAATGCTCCTGTTAATAAAGGCAAACAACAAGAAGGTTATATGTTAGAATATAAAATTAAACGACGTATTCCATTAGAAAATATTACTGAAATTAAAATGAGGTAAATAATATATTGAAGAAATAATGTAATATGATTTTATTTTAGTGAATATCGTGATAATTTCTTTTTACTTTGTGTGAATAATGATTATGCTACATTATTGGAATTATCAAGTAAAACAGAGGTTGTTTCAATTATATCAAAAAATTATGCGAAAAAAACTAATCGAGCATTACCAATGACATTTGGACAAGGGTAGAGTAATTTATTTAGAATAATACAAAAAAAAACGAAATATTTTCAATTTTATATTACAGTTTTGAATATACAGTTAAAAAACAAAGTTGGGTGGGCGGTGGTACACGTAGTGTGAAATTTGTTCATGGTGCTATTAGTGCTGCATCGGTAATATATATTTGAATGAGTTTAACTATAATAGCGATGATAATTTAGCTCATTCTATTATGATTGCTATTTTTGTATGTAGTAGCAGGGTTCCCGATTGTTTTCAAAAGTGCCGAGGGATAAAATTTGGCAAAAAGTCCAGAAAGTGCCGTCATATAGCTTTCTGACGCATATAACGTAGAAAATACTTCAGTTATACACTTTCTGCGAAATTTTGCCCGAAAAAAGTGTTTTTATTGGAGTTTCTGGCAGAAAATGACGAAATAGCATAAAAATCACGTTTCTGATCAAGTTTTCAGCAAACCTTTAAAAACTTTGACAGACAGTTTTTCGAATTTTGCGAGGGACTAGATCCCCTCCCCCCTAATCGGAGTTCCTGTGTAGTAGTACTGTTTCAGATTTAAACAAATACTGTCCTTTTATACAGAGAATAAATTACAGAAGTCTTCATACCTAACTTTAACAGTTGGAAAAAGTCATGATCAAATTCTGTTGTATATTTCTAGCATCCGTATATATAGACTTGTTTATTATTATAGAATCAAATCGATCCAACAAAACTACGTAAAGGAGTTGAGATGCCACGTGATTATGAAGTAAAAATAAATCGTAGTTCAATGACTGTTATGATATCAAATGGTTTATCTAAAGAATCAAGTAAAATATCAAAAATTTTGGTTTTATCTATCTCTTATATCGCATATTTTTTATTATAGGACCAAATAAATCGAATGCTGAGAAACCAAGTAGAGTACAAATTAAACCTCAAACTAAGTTAGTATCATTAATTTTCGATACATTTCAATGATTTATATATATATAGTAATTCTTCTCGGAAGCCACCAGCTAAACCTCCAAGGCCAATAGCTGCAAAACCATCAAAACAACAAAAGAAACTTCGTGCATTGTATGATTTTGAAGCACGATCTGCTGATGAACTTACATTTCAGGCTGATAATGAATTATTTCTTATTGATAATAGTGGTACGCATTAATTGCTTAAGAAAATTTTCATCTTCTTATATTGCTCTCTCTCTCTCTTTAGATGAAACTTGGTGGAAAGCTGAACTTGATGGGAAAACAGGTAAATATAATTGTATATTTAAACAAAAAAATTACAACTAATTTCGTTTCATATTCAGGGGTTGTACCATCAAATTATGTTGAAGTTATTATTTGATTATTTTATTGCAATAGAAACATTTATTTACAGTGACTAATTACTGCTTGTGTTTTTCTTTTTCTTCATTATATCTGTATTCATTTTGTATTCTTTTTATGCACTTTATGATCTAAACTAGTGTGTGTATGTGTTTTTTCTCTTTTCTTATGTAAACTGGGTTGTTCTTTCTCTCTTTGAATGTCCACTTCTAAACAGATTAATTTTGTCTTTATTTTTGTATATGATTGATAATACTCATTTCATTATTTGACCAAGTTATTATACATTCCGTATTTGATTTTTAATAAGCGAAAAAAAGAAAAACTTGTGACATTTAACTTCTAGATGTCGACAATAAATTCAGAATCAATAACAACATCAACTGTAATTAAGAAAGAAGAGAAAAAAAAGATTTTGAACTTTCATTTTTTGAAAAGAAATATATATTTTATTTAGCGAACACCAGTTGTAATCATTAAGCCTATTCTTTATGGTAATACAGCAAAACATCTAGGTACGAAACGAGATACTGATGGACATACACATAAATGGTCAGTCTATGTTCGATCTTATAATAATGATGATATATCAACTTATGTAAGTAAAGTACAATTTCGTTTACATGAAACATATCCAAATCATGCACGAAGTAATTAATAATAAGTAATGTTAGTTATATAAATCATTCTTTTTCTGTTTTTTCAGTGATTTCACAAGCACCATTTGAAGTTGAAGAAAGTGGTTGGGGTGAATTTGAAACACAAATTACTATTTTCTTTGCTGATCCAAATGAAAAACCAGTATTAATTGATATATTTATATTAAATTGAATTATTTCATTTATATTTTGCTAGGTCATATTTTATCATCATTTAAAATTATTTTCTACAGATCCAGATGTAGTAGCCGGTACAAAAGCATTAGTCAATGAAAATTACGATGAATTGGTAAAGTCAATTATGAATTTGGAAAATTATGTTATTTTTCTTTCTATAGATTTTTCAAGAACCATCTGATTTATTAGTTCGTCTTCTCAATTGTGCTAAATCACTTGCACCACCAACAGATGAGAATCTAGCAACTGAAAAAGAATGTATGCTATAAAAACAATTGATTGATATCGATTAATCATATATGAAACATTATTTTAGATGCTGTAAAAAAAGCTGATACAATAGCACTTATAAAAACTGCTCGTCAACGCGTACGAAGTGAAATTCAAGATTTAACTGAACGTCTTCGTATTACTCAAGAAAATATAAAACGTATTCGACAACGTTCAGCAGATCATGGCTCTTCTACGAATTTATTGAATACATCTACACATGAAAATATTAAACGTGAAATAGTTGATTGAATGTGGAAAGAAAGAAAGAATGACTGAATATAATTTCCTTCGTTTTCTTTGTATATAATGTAAAGACATTTTTTTCTTAATAAAAGTAGACAGATATGATCAAGAATATGATACTGAAAATAGATATACAGCTATTAAATAAATTGACGCTTACTCGCCGAAAATCGATCATAGCTCAGGCATATTCAAATGTAAATGGGTATTCAATTCTAAAAATCTCACAGGCGCTGCATCTTGATTTACTCTTTCAAAATAAAAACAAAACAGGTGTGTATAAAGATCATTGAGATGTGTGATCGAAAAAGTGTAAACTGATGAAAAAAAATGACTTCAAAAACAAAGCATCGGATAATAATTTATATTATTTCTGTAATATGTCAAGCGGCCTATTTTCTCATGCATTAAATTCGGTTGCGAAATACTTTATAGACAAAAAGGACTTTTGTTAAAGTTTCAATAAATGTACAGATTTTGAAAGCTAACGATTAAAATCCTATATTTATAGTAGATACGATTATAGTGATTTAAATTATATAGAAACATGCAAAAATAATTCTTCGACATACTATATAAACTTTTCACCCTTCACATCTGTAATAGTGCATGCGATATCATATATATGTATTGTTTACATTCTCTTTTTTTTTTAGTACATGAAACCGACATGTTAACACCTGGATGATGCGTCTAGAGAATTACATCATAGATATAGATAGTAATGATGTATAAATATATCATTTTATTTTATACGAATAATAGACATTTTATTTGTGAATAAGAAGAATGAAAGTGATTATATTTCTAACTGTTACTTTTATTTTTACTATTATTAATGGTCAACAACATAATATTCCTCAACATCAAGAAACATTTTTTCATGAAGATCACTTGAATAACATATTGGACTCTCATGATAATGATAATAATGATCATGGAATTGATTTTGAACGACACATCTCTATTCCATATCCACAATGTTTTAGAAATAAATTAGCTTCATCATTTCTTAAATCAGACGTACTTGAACATATATTTAAAATAAAACTTGAAGAAGAAGACGCAAAATTGACAAAAGAACATGAAAGAAATCTTGAATTACACAACGGTTTGTATTAAATTAAATTAATTTAATAATATTTTAATTTTATTTATGATACATTCAGATGATATTTTGGATTTCGAAGAAATGCAATTACGATCTGATGCTCACAATGGTGCATTACTTGCTCGTTCTGCAACAAAAGCAGCTGATGAACTTATCTATCAGTATTTTAAATAGTTCTTCATTTTCTTTTTCTAATTTTACTTTTTTTAGACTTTCATGTATAACAAATGCATCAATAACTCCTAATTTGTAAACAAAAATAGATTGAAAAATATGCTTATTTTTTATTCATACTTTTTTTTAGAGATAATTTTCTAAAAACAATTCAATTACCATCTATGTTTTGTGCATATCAGTCAAATCCAAGTTGTGAAGGATTAACAAATTATCGAACAGTAACTGGTGTATGCAATAGTCTTTCACGTCCTTATCGAGGAAGTTCACAAACTGCATATGGAAGATTATTACCTCCAGTTTATGATGATGGTATTATTATTATTATTAAGAAATCGAATTCTTCATCATATATTTATTTATTTTCTAAGGTTTGAGATTACCACGATCAGAATCTGTTGTAGGTGGTTCTTTACCACCATGTCGTCAAGTCAGTTTAGCTTTTGGTTCAAAACCCACGTTTGATTCTGCTATTAATAATCTTTGGGTTACTTATGGACAATTTCTTGTTCATGATTTAACATTTGCAACACCTGTAACTGATTCTGGACGAACACCAATAACATCTTGTAATTGTGATTCAAAAGATACGGATATGTGTAATGTCATTGATATTGCTCCTAATGATCCGTTTATGGCTGGACAAAGATGTGTAGCTGTACCAGCAACAGCTCAAGCATTTTCCGATCAAATTTGTGCACTTGGTGTCAAAGAACAGGTGAATGGAAATTCGCATTACGTTGATTTATCTGTCACATATGGAAGTACAAGAAGAACAGCTGCTTCTATACGAGTTGGTACAGAGGGATTAATGAAAACAACACTAAAACGTGAATTTAAATATGATTTACCACCTGGTCAACGAGAAGGAAGATCATGTGTCGATTCAACTGAAACAAATAAATGTTTTGCTGGTGGTAAGTTATTATACATTTGATTTGTTCTTTTTCATTAACGACTAGACTAATAAAAATAATAATGATTATTATTTCTTTAAAGGTGATTCACGTTTGATGGAAAATCCAATTTTATCTGGTGTTCAAGCCCAATGGTTACGTATACATAATGAATTTGCTCGTGAACTTAATCGTATACGTCCTGATTGGAATTCAAATGATAATACTTTATATGAAGAATCGAAAAAAATTGCAACAGCTCTTCATCAACATTATACTTATAATGAATGGTTACCAATTCTTATTGGTAAAACAGCAACAGCACAGTATCTTGGTGATAAACATCTTCATACTGAATATAATCCATCAGTACGGAAAAAAACTTTGGAACTAAACCTTTTTGTTTCGTATTACGAACATTTTGTTTTTGTCTAGATGCCTGGAGTTGTATTCAATGAAGTAGCTGCAGCTGTATTACGTTTACATACATTTGTTCGTGATTTAATTAGTCGTTGTAAACCAAATGGAGATTTAATTGATCAACTTTGGTTTAATGAAGTTGCTTCAAAATGCAAATTTGCATATGAGTAAAGTGAAAATTTTCATTTGAAAAAAATCATTCCAAAAATTTCTCTTTCGTAGTGTAAAAACTAATGGTTTAGATTCATTTTTATGTGGTGCATTAGTTGATTTCAGTTTTGCTGCTGATACAAATTATGCTCAACAAATTCATCATCGATTATTTGAATCAACAAATCATCAAGGTGAATTACGACGTAGTGATTTAGTAGCTCTGAATATTTGTCGAGGACGTCAACATGGTTTACCAGGTTATAATGCTTATCGACAACTTTGTGGTTTTCGACTTGCAAATCGTTTCCAAGATTTTTCTGATACTATGAGTCCTCAATCAATTGAAACGATGCAGACGCTTTATAAGTAATATATTTCATATTGAATGAAAAGATAACTCACAATAGTTCGATGATGAGACATGAATTAATTATTTTTCTAGACATCCTGATGATGTTGATCTCTTTGCTGGTCTTAATCATGAAACACATACGCACGATGCTCTAGTAGGTCCAGTTTCTGTTTGTCTTATCGGTATACAATTTAAACATCTTAAATATGGTGATCGATTCTTTTACACTCATCATGGTGAATTTACAAAAGGTAGGATTGATAAGTATCAATGAATATTAATAGATTTTATTTATTTTCTTTTAGCTCAATTACATTCCATTAAGAACTATTCATATCGATGTTTTCTTTGTCACACAGTAGATATTGAACAAGTTGCTCGCAATCCATTTCAACCACCAAATGATATTACGTAAGTATTATTTCATTTGAATTAATATTTTAATCTATATTAGCATATTTTAGTAATCCATTAGAATCGTGTAGTACGTGTTCTATTTTTGATTTTGGTCCATGGCATATGCCTAAGGCCAGTTAATTATGTTTTTTTCTTCTTTGTTAATTTTATTTGTTTAAGTCTATAAAAAACAGTTGATTTCATCTGTTTGATTTTATTATTTTACAAAAAATAAAAAGCAGAAAAATAAAAGATATTTTTCCTTTCTTATGTTTTTCGACGAGTCGCATGACAATAAAGAACAACTTGAATATATTTATCCGTTTTAATTTCTTTTCGTGTAGTATTATCACCATGTGATTTAGCATTTGGATCAACAATAATTATTTTTCTATCACGTTTACTTTTAAATAATAAACCATCAAGATTATCTTGTATTAATTGAAAATTAGGTGTATTATTTGAACAACATGTTTGATTTTCCCAATTATAATAACTAAAAATCAACAGTTAAGTCAAATCGATTAGATTTATTTTTCTATACCTAAGATCAGTTGGTTTTGGTAATAATTTTTTCTTTCCAGCAAAATATACTTCAAAATCTTCGGATTTTAAACGATGAGCATAATCAATATAACCAGATATTTCTTGATGACGAGAGTTTTTATCACGAATAAAAATAATTGTCTGAAAAAGGAAGAACTGTTTTTTACATAAAAAATATATAAATATTATTTACTGTCATTTTTCCTGTTCGATTCGCTTCTTCAGTATCAGCAAGTTCACGTAACAATGGTTCTGTTATTTCTTTATTGGCACTGGCTAATTTTCTATATAAACAAAAAAATATTGATACAGATAATAAAATCGATTAATATCGCTAGTTCTTAAACTGTCTATTATGTGATAATGAAATACATCTGATTTTTTAAATTTCGATACTTAATTTCATTAGTCTAATTAGTTTACGAAAACATACGGTGCTTGTATACGTCGTGAAAGAAGTTGCTGTTCAGCAGCTGCTTTTCGTGCATAGAATTCTTCTCGTTTGATGACTTCTCCACTACCACGATAGCCAAGTTCGACAAGTTGTCGAGCTAATTCTTCATCCTAATATATAAAAATAAATTATTGATTATTTGATTTCTTTTTTCGTATTCAATATTTCTTTATACTTCAAGATAACTAAGATCTAAACGAGTGACTTGTGAATCTAGAAATTCTTCATATGTTGCATATTTTGTAACAATATCAACAGCTGCCGATAAATCATCTTCCATTATCGAATATAATCGAAATCAATAAAAAATAAACTTATATCTAAAAACATTCATACATAAGTCTGATAATATATGAAAGTCTACATTTTATTTATAATTATTTCATGTCTAATACATTCAATCACAACATTATCAATGATGTTACTATGGAAATAACTATTTAAATGAATAGATAATAAAAATTTTTATTTAATAAGATTATATTTTTGTATTAGAGAATATAGAAGTTCTAGAAATTATTATAATATCAATCAGAGAATAAAAGCGTCCTCTGTCTTATTTGTCTTTCTATGGTCAAATAGCTCAACATGAATGTAAGAGGAAATGCATTGCCGTGTTACAAAAAATCATGTTTGTTTGAACTACAAATACCATTTCTTTTATTTTTTTTCTTGTATCTAAGAATTAGATATTCAATTCCATTCTTTGTTTTTTAAATGTTCTTTTCTTTTAAGACTTTTTTTGACTGTGTTTGACATCCTTCAATTATCAGGTCTTCGTGCCTATCCCAATCCAATATTCCCCTCTTCTCAAAAACTAAAATGACATCATCCGATGATGATTATGGTCAAGCATCAAGTAATAATAACAATAATAATAGTATTAGCGTAACTAGTGGAACTCAAAATAATAATTATACTCGACGTATGAATAGCAACAGCAGTAATCCTTATTCATCATCAACCGGTATTGAAATACGTATATTAATGACTTCTCGTGATGCTGGAGCAGTTATTGGTATAGACATAAATTTCTTTTTACTTATTTCGATTAATAAATTTTTTCTTTAGGCAAAGGTGGTTCATCAATACAAAAACTTCGTGCTGATCATCCACGTACAATAATTCAAGTACCTGATTGTGCATCACCTGAACGTGTATTAATTATAAGTGGTGAACAAGAACAATGTTTTGATGCATTACTACAAATTATTCCAGCTTTAACGGATAGTTCACGTCTTTCATCATTTAATCGACGACGTAATTTAAATACTGGAGCAGGAGGAATAGGAGCAAATTCAGATCAAAATCAATCGACGAATGATAATCAAACAACAGGCGATATACCATCAGAAATTCGAATACTTGTTCATCAAATTTATTGTGGAGCTATTATTGGTAAAGGTGGACAACATGTTAAAGAATTAAGACAAACATATAATCTTGATATAAAAGTATTCTCACAATGTTGTCCGCTAAGTCATGAAAGAATTATTTCATTACGTGGAAAAATAGATGATATTATTGAATGTATTAAAGTAAATATTCAAAAAGATCAAAATTAAAAGAATTATTATGTTGTTCTTTTTTCTTCTTCTTAGCACATCTATTCATTAATGAGTTCATCATCTCAACAACCAAGAGGTCCACCATTAATTCAATATGATCCACATAACTTTGATATTTATACAGTGAATGAATATGGTTAGATTTTCTTTTTAAAATTAATATTTTCGAAAAAAAATTTATTTTTAGGTGGTTTTCAACCGCCAGGTGGTATTGATAATCGTATTGGATATAATCCACGAGGAGGATTTCCACCTCCTGGACCAAGTGGTGGAATGTATCCTATTCGACCTTTACCTCCTCTTGTCGATATTCCGTATGGTGGTGGACCAGGTTTAGGTGCTCGATATCCCAATCCTGCATTACTTACTTCAACACGGGTAACTTATATGTTATTATTTTTATCTAGTAATTATTCTTTTGTATTTTTTTCTCTAGGTGACTTTACCAAATGAGCTTGTCGGCGCAATTATTGGCCCACGTGGAGCAAAAATTCAACAGATACGTCAAACAACAAATGCTAATATTATAATTGATGATCAACCAATTCCTACTGGTCTTAGTGGTGGTGGTGATCGCATAATAACAATTGAAGGAACACCAGAGCAAATCAGTCGTGCACAAGCTCTTCTTCAACAAGCTGTTCGTCAATCTGGTCTTTGGCGAAATTGATCCCCGTTGTTGTTTTATTATTCATATGTGCACTAAATTTTCAAACATGTTTTTTCTCATCACTTTTTGTTTGTTTTTGTGTGTGTGTGTGTGTGTGTGTGCGTACTGCTTTTCTTATTTTTTATTCATTTCGTGTATACAGTAGGATATTGATTGATTGACGCTTCTCTTTTTTTTGTCATTTGTTTCGTGTATGTGTCACTTTTTTCTTTATCTCTTCTCTCGGTTTTTATATAGATTTCACTCAGATCTATAACATATAATTTTTTGTTTTGTATACATAATGATAAAACAAAAAATAGGATAGAATTGGTTTGTGAAAATATT